CAGGGGGTGGCGGCGCAGCTCCGCCGCGGCCAGCCCCCCCGCCAGAAGAGGCGCGGCCACCGGCAGCAGGAGGAGGCGGCGCACCGCCGCCCCGGCCAGCCCCCCCGCTGTGGCATTGTGTACGTGCAAGTAGTGGCACACGATATGGCCGCTGTGGCGTCCTTTAACTGTATATATACGCCCTCAGATGGCTAATGCAAAGTGTGTTGAATCTCAATCCCGCTTTCATGGTATCAGACGCTAAGGATACGAATCCTTTTGCACACAACCCATCCTCCGCTGCCTTGGATGAGTTCGGCAACCACTCTCCTTCCCCCTCCCACGACGGCGATCTCCCTGATGATGGGGGCCACCCTGCCGTCGCCCCACCACCTCCGGTCACGGCCCCGGTTGCGCTCCGCCTTGCGCCGGCCACTCCTGTCGGTGTCGCTCCCCTTCCGGCTGCCTCTGTCCTTCCTACCGTGGACATCCGGTGCCATGTTCCGGTCATCCTCGACCTCAACGCCGGCAACCACGCCTAGTGGCGCCGCCACTTCGACGTCGTCCTTGGCATGTTCGGTCTTCACGACCACGTTTCTGCCAAGGCCCTTCCCCACCCCGACGACCCCAAGTGGATCATCACGGATCACGCGGTGATCCATTGGCTGTACTCCACCATCGCTCCGGAGCTGCTCGATGCGGTGATGCAGCCCGAGGAAACCGCCCTCACCGTTTAGACTATCGTCGGTGAGCTCTTCACTGCCAACCACCTCTCTCGCGCCGTCTACGTCGATGCCGAGTACCACGCCGTAGTCTAGGGCGAAATGTCCGTCATGCAGTACTGTACGAAGCTGAAGCTCTACGCGGATCAGCTCCGCGACCTGGGGCAGCCCGTCACTGAGACTCGTCGGGTATTCCATCTCCTACGTGGTCTTGGTCGTCAGTATCATCATGCCGCCTGCACAACACCGCGGGGGGCGGGCTCAGGTCAATTCATGGATATTCAGTTGAATACCCTTTATTTTTAACAAAATATTATGTATATGTATACTATATATTATGTAGATGTATGCATAAGAACGAATTTGGCACAAACTAGCAGACAATCGAAGCATCCAGCGACTAGCTAGCCCACCTGCTGCTCTCTCCGTCCCTACTCCCACATGGCCGATGGGCTAGTCTCTCCTCATCCAGCCCATTTCAGATATTTGAAGAGGCAGCAGCGCATTGCGTGGCATGACATATCTCTATCGCACAAAGTTAGGGCTCATGATTCACGAACCGCTCTCCCAAATCCAATCTAACCGAGCAGGGGTGGGAGCGACTGCGGCAGGCAACCGGCGGCGCCCTGCGTCCATCCCTCGCCTCCTCTATGCTGCATGGTGGCACCCGCCCCGCAAGCCGCAGCAGGCAACACACGCCTTCTCTCGTTCTTTGGCACTTTTGCAGGCTGCAGCAAATTAAATCGAGCGTCCAACTCCAACTCTATGTAAGTTAACTTGGCTTCGTCTGTTGGTATATTGAAATTTAAGAATCATTTCTAGCGAATTCGAACCTGACAATTATTTAGAGTTATTGGGTAGTATAATAATACATTAATCTGGTTTGCAATTCGTGAATGATATTGCATTTGCAACGCGAGAATATTTATGAAGTTATGAGAATGTGAAAAGTGAGTATTACCAATAAAAATAGTACTTCTATTTGTGAACAATTTCAATACAAGAAATTTTATGAATCTATAAAAAATTCCTCACTTCTGCATCATATCATGTACATTTAAGTACAATATATGGTGATACATTCATTTGTACATGCCAAAAATCAAGGATTTAGGATGTACAAAAAATTTAATGTTTAAAATTCTGAATACACACTTTTGAAATCCTGGGCCCGCGTTCCGCTCCCCACCTTCCTGGAGACCCGTGGCTTCCTCATGCTCGAGGAGCACCGCGCCGAGCAGTCCACGCGCCTGTAAAAAAATGCGTAGACTCTCCCTTCGACTAGATGCTCTTTGAGTTGTTTAATACTCCCTCCGTAAACAAATATAAGAGCCTTTAGATCACTACTTTAGTAATCTAAATGCTCTTATATTAGTTTACAGAGGGAGTATCATTGTGTCCTGCACGCCCTTGCATAGTTCCACCGTACAAGTGCAAGGCCAGAAGAAGGATCATCGTGCTGAGAAAACCAGACGGTGGTAAATTTGACAATAGTGGTGGGTAGGGAATGGAGACGCCACCACCTCGTGAAGTCGTGATTGATCTGAAGCCTGTCGAGGCCGAACGTGGTGCCATTGTTTGGGTTGAAGGAGTGCCACATGCGCGAGATGTGCACCTGAACTCTGCACCTGTGCGCCGTTGACGGGTTCAACTAGACAATGGGATGAACAAGATGTGTAGACTAATGAATAAATACAGTGATCAATCTTTATTGTTGTCCCTGAGCCAGGCCCAACAATTGCACAGAAAACTTATGAATAAATACAGTGATCAATCTTTATTGTTGTCCCTGAGCCAGGCCCAACAATTGCACAGAAAACTTATGAATGTGCAGCAATAAAAATCCAGAGAGACCTAGTATACCTTGTCCAGCAACCAAGAACAAGGTTAGAGCATCTCTAGCAGATCCAGTAAACGCCCAGTTATCCCGGAAACGTTTTTTGCTAGACGCCAGACACTGAGCCAGAGCAGGTCCTTCATACCGAGCCGGCATATTCAAACTTGCAGTTTGCGCTTAAAACTAGATCACCGAAGTTCGTCATACATAAACATAGCATACCGGAGTTCATAGTACATACCAAAGTTCATACTAAATAAAAACAGAAATTAAACACAGCATACGGAAGTTCATACTAGTCTACTCCTCGTCGCCGTCATCGCCTCGACAACCTATCTGGCGCATACACATTTATTTACATTACTTCACCTCAATTTAGTGAAACACTGCGTCAGATAAGATAACAGGCAGGCAGGCAGGCAGGCAAAAGTTACGCATATGCTTCAAACTTCACGCAGGTGAAACACTGTGCGTAAACCTTCACGCACACAGAGCATAATTATTTGTTCAGAAAAAAATAGCACGCTACTTAACGAAGTGTTCTATCTGAAGCCCTACCCAGGTTTTCAACTCTAACATCACCCGGTCATTTCCACACTGCCAAAAAAAGCAATCTAAAACACGATGCTAAGCATACACATCGTCATCGTGTACTAAACACGGAGCAGTTTGGAGTTCCGAAGCCCGAAGGTCTCAGAATAGGATGTGCAAAGCACATTGGCTCGTCTTTATGCTAGGGATCATAACTTGCAATCTCTACATTACTGCTTGACGAAATCCTTGAGCTTGTTCAGCCAAAACAGGTACTCCCGGCTGTCCTTGTTGATCATGTACTCGTGCAGGAAGTTTGTCGTCATGGGCGTGATTCCGCGCAGCTCCAGGTACTTGTGGAATGCCCTCTGCAGGTTCTCGTCCAGGTCACTGCACGTCACAAAGACCAAGCATACAACATCAGCAAGCAGCGACGACAACTGCGTTCAGTTACCCAAGAAACTAAAATGGCCAAAGCTATGGTTTGTGTTCTTACTTGAAGTCAGGACCCTCGTATGCAATGTAGTCCTCTCCCAACTTCTCAGAGGGCTGCTTCACGGACAAGGTATCGATGAGGATCTCGTCAGGATAGGCCGTGCAGGTGAACTCGAGGCTTGGGCCGTCACTCTTGGTGATGGTGACTGTGAGGGGAAGGCTGGACTTCGGGGGCTTCTCGCCGTCATCCTGATCATCATCTTTCTCCTTGTCATCCTCGTCCTGGTCATGCTCTGGCTCGTCTCCAGTGACTAGGTTGGGCATAAAAACCAGAACCTCGATCTTCTCACCCTGGTAAGTTCTTGTAAGAGTGATGTCATTAAGCCCCTTCTTGTCGCTGATTTTGAAAGGGAAGCTATCTGGGACCTCCTCAACCTGCTTAATAAGATGGAAAAGGTGAGGCTCTGAATACCAATTCAACACTACTAAAATGAACACCAACTTGCTCATAGTAAAGCGGAATGTACAAAATAGTGTCGCTGCAAGACAAATAGGGTAACTCAGTTCTTTTCCAGCCCTCATGTTTTCTCTCTCGAAATGCTAATTATGGATTACATACCATGCCAGAACAAATTACTTTAATTCCTACACCTTTGAGAAGGCCTTGAAGATTACATTGCTGAACCGTGATAACTCAACTCTTTTCCAACACTCATGTTTTCCCTCTAAAAATGCGAATTCATGGATTAGATGCCAGGCCAGAACAAATTGCTTGAATTCCTACACCTTGCAAAAGGCCTGGAAGACTACATTTTTGAATCATAATAACTCTATTTAGCAGACAAAACCAATGCATTTCACACACCATCAGAATATCTACCTTCTGCCCTACTACAACCAAAGCCCCCAGCTAGGTTTCTCAAGCATGAGTTAAGGTATGAGTAAATCTTTGCAATATTGAGTTGGTATGTTAGCAACTAGTCCCTCCTTTTCTAAATATAAGCCTTTTTAGAGATTTCAATATGGACTACATACGGATGTATATAGACATACTTTAGAGTGTAGATTCACTCATTTTGCTGCGTATGTAGTCCTTAATGAATCTCTAAAAAGACTTATATTTAGGAACGGAGGGAGTACTACTATCTGTTCGGGTTCAATCTGCTCCAGCCGGCTAGAAATACCCAAGCATGACTGCAAAAGCACATATGCTTTTATGTTGGAACCTTAGACTCAACATTCATCAACAGTAAGTTGGGAAAAAAACGTGAAGAAATATAATATAATATAATTTAAATAAATGCATCTAATAAAAAAAGAACCCATCAGTGAACCTTGTCAAAACGGATTGTTTGACGCATAAAACTCAACTCAGTGCATGAGAGTGGTGCAGTTAATGGAAAGCAACCAGTGCCCCTTGCCATCGTAGAAAAAAGACAGAGAACCATGCAAACAATTGAACAGTTTATCATAACAGCGGAACACTGATGGTCTGGTATGGCAAGCATGCAAGATGTAAGTGACAAGAAACATTATAACTGTGAAAAGAGCAGAGTCCAGCCAAACATATCACACAAATTGCACTGAAATACAACCTAAACCGCACAAAACAAGTAACGAAACCTCCACCACCAACAGAGCCATACTACAGCATCAAGACTGTAGTAAGACGGAACCAAATTCCAAAGACGGAATATTACTCATGGATTAAGGCACAAGCAAAATCTCATGCAAGATTACATCAAAAAGAGAATACTTATGCAAGAAGTGACTCATCGCTATGGTAGTCTACATCAACTGCAGAATCACCAACACTGAAAGTCAAATATGGTACCATGAGAAGAAGTTAACATGGACAGGAACTGACACAAATCGAGCATAAGCCTAATTTAGCGAAGAAAACCCTTAGGTCGTACTACCAGAGACTAATCTGAAATTCGAATGACACTATCAACTGCAGCAGGAAGATATGCGCATGACCAGACTAATTGAAGTCCTAAATTACATAAGAGAAATCCCCCCCTTTTGAATGGGGAATATCAACATCTATCACCATTTCCAATCCTACCGCTGCAGGCTAACGCTAATCGAAATCTAAACTGCCTCACGGCGCACAGATTACCCAATTAATCCCCTCCGGGAACATCAGACCACAACTACAGAGATGAAGGGATTCGGGCCGCAAGCCAGCGACAGATCTAAATTAGCAGCAGCAGCAGCACTAAAGGTTTCGGGGAGCGGGCGGGCGGGCGAACGAACCCGGTCGTGGTCGTCGCAGTCCTCGGCGAACTTGATCTCGGCCTTGACGATGCGGAGGAGCTCGTCGTCGGAGCTCGGCTTCAGCGCGGTCGCCGAGGAGAAGGGCATCGGCCGGGCCGCGGCGGCGGCCAGGGGGCGGAGCAGGGCCGCGCCACGGGAGGCCGCGCCGCGGGAGGCCGCGCCGCGGGAGGCGGAGGCGGAGGCGCGGAGGAGGGGGAGCGAGGAGGAGGCCGCGCGGCGGGCGGCGGCGAAGAGGGCCATGGCTGGCGGCGGCGGCGGAGAGGGTTTAGGGTTTTCGTGGTCGAGGGGTTTGGGGTTGGGGGGAATGGAGGTGGGACGAGGTTTATAGGCACTCGACTATTACTAAGAAAAAAACTGTCCAAACCTTCACAATCTCAAAAATGCTCAATGGAGATCGAGCTTCATAAAGGTGGAATTTGAAATTTTCAAAATTCATACTTTTATGTTTCACAAAAATTTGAAAAAAAATGCACGCATATATCTAGATACTAAAGTATACTCCTAGATGTGTATTTTTTTATGATAAAACACGTTAAGTGAGAGCTACAGATATCTATGGCTTTTTAGCACATGCACTGTTCATTATCAAAGTCCATAATTTTTGCCTTTGCGCAGCTCGTAACTCAAAGTGTTTTCAAGACCGGTTCGGTTGCACAAAGACCCCGCATCTCAGAGGACCTAGCCTAGATCATACATTGTATATGTTGCTATTTAATATATGGCAGAATTGAACAACGATATTTAATGTTCAACCCACACGGCCACACTCATCGATGCATCCATATGCAGTGGCGGAGCCAGAAAAAATCTATTAGGGGGGCCAAGTGCTCTTAAACTAATTGTGGAGGGCCAAAGCATTAATTTAGCAGCAAATCATCATTAATTTTGCATTGTTCATCAGAAAATATGCAGCAAATAGATGATGTTAGGGGGGGCCAGGGCCCCTGCTGGTCCCCCTGTCTCCGCCATTGTCCATATGGCAACTGAAAAAATATATACGATCCACATCGTACGCCTTCTATTGTGAGACCACCTCCCATGATTGACACGTGGCAAATTGAGTCTCAAATCAACCAGGCCATCATGTTATCTTCTAAGTCCCCTTTTTCATATCCTCTTCCCTTCCCAGGGGCCAGCGTTGTTGGAAATATGCCCTAGAGGCAATAATAAAAGGATTATTATTATATTTTCTTGTTCATGATAATTGTCTTTTATTCATGCTATAATTGTATTATCCGGAAATCGTAATACACGTGTGAATACATAGACCACAATACGTTCCTAGTAAGCCTCTAGTTGACTAGCTCGTTGGTCAACAGATAGTCATGGTTTCCTGACTATGGACATTAGATGTCGTTGACAACGGGATCACATCATTAGGAGAATGATGTGATGGACAAGACCCAATCCTAAGCATAGCACAAGATCGTGTAGTTCGTTTTGCTAGAGCTTTTCCAATGTCAAGTATTTTTTCCTTAGACCATGAGATCGTGTAACTCCCGGATACCGTAGAAGTGCTTTGGGTGTACCAAACGTCACAACGTAACTGGGTGACTATAAAGGTGCACTACAGGTATCTCCAGAAGTGTCTGTTGGGTTGACACGGATCGAGACTGGGATTTGTCACTCCGTATAACGGAGAGGTATCACTGGGCCCACTCGGTAGTGCATCATCATAATGAGCTCAAAGTGACCAAGTGTCTGGTCACAGGATCATGCATTACGGTACGAGTAAAGTGACTTGCCAGTAACGAGACTGAACGAAGTATTGGGATACCGACGATCGAGTCTCTGGCAAGTAACATACCGTCTGACAAAGGGAATAGTATACGGGGTTACTTGAATCCTCGACATCGTGGTTCATCCGATGAGATCATCGAGGAGTATGTGGGAGCCAACATGGGTATCCAGATCCCGCTGTTGGTTATTGACTGGAGAGCTGTCTCGGTCATGTCTGCATGTCTCCCAAACCCGTAGGGTCTACACACTTAAGGTTCGGTGACGCTAGGGTTGTATGAATATGAGTATGCAGCAAACCGAATGTTGTTCGGAGTCCCGGATGAGATCCCGGACGTCACGAGGAGTTCCGGAATGGTCCGGAGGTAAAGAATTATATATAGGAAGTGCTGTTTCGGCCATCGGGAAAGTTTCTAGGTCACCCGGTATTGTACCGGGACCACCGGAAGGGTCCCGGGGGTCCACCGGGTGGGGCCACCTATCCCGGAGGGCCCCGTGGGCTGAAGTGGGAGGGGAGCCAGCCCCTAGTGGGCTGGTGCACCCCCCTTGGGCCCCCCTGCGCCTAGGGTTGGAAACCCTAGGTAGGGGGGGCGCCCCACTTGCCTTGGGGGGCACTCCACCCCCCTGGCCGCCGCCCCCTTGGGAGATTGGACCTCCCAGGGCCGCCCCCCCTGGGGGCCTATATAAAGGAGGGCAAAGGGGAGGGCAGCCGCACCCTGTGTATTGGCGCCGCCCTCCCCCTGCTACACCTCGTCCTCCTCCCGCAGCAGCTTGGCGAAGCCCTGCCGGAGTTCTGCTGCATCCACCACCACGCCGTCGTGCTGCTGGATCATCATCAACCTCTCCTTTCCCCTTGCTGGATCAAGACGGAGGAGACGTCACGCTGTCCGTATGTGTGTTGAACGCGGAGGTGTTGTCCGTTCGGCACTTGGTCATCGGTGATTTGAATCACGGCGAGTACGACTCCATCATCACCGTTCTCTTGAACGCTTCCGCACGCGATCTACAAGTGGTATGTAGATGCAATCTCTCTCCCATGACTCGTTGCTTAGATGAACTCATAGATGGATCTTGGTGAAACCATAGAAATTTTTTTAATTTTCTGCAACGTTCCCCAACAGTGGCATCATGAGCTAGGTCTATGCGTAGTTCTCTATTGCACGAGTAGAACACAATTTTGGTGTGGGCGTAGATCTTGTCAACTTGCTTGCCGCTACTAGTCTTTTCTTGCTTCAGCGGTATTGTGGGATGAAGCGGCCCGGACCGACCTTACACGTACGCTTACGTGAGACAGGTTCCACCGACTGACATGCACTAGTTGCATAAGGTGGCTAGCGGGTGTCTGTCTCTCCTACTTTAGTTGGAGCGGATTCGACGAAAAGGGTCCTTATGAAGGGTAAATAGAAGTTGACAAAATCACGTTGTGGTTATTCATAGGTAAGAAAACGTTCTTGCTAGAACCCAATTGCAGCCACTGTTGGGTTTCGTAGTAATTTCAAAAAAAATTTCCTACGCGCACACAGGATCATGTGATGCATAGCAACGAGAGGAGAGTGTTGTCTACGTACCCAACGCAGACCGACTGCGGAAGCAATGACACGACGTAGAGGAAGTAGTCGTACGTCTTCACGATCCAACCGATCAAGCACCGAAACTACGGCACCTCCGAGTTCGAGCACACGTTCAGCTCGATGACGATCCCCGGACTCCGATCCAGCAAAGTGTCGGGGAAGAGTTTCGTCAGCACGACGGCGTGGTGACGATCTTGATGAACTACAGCAGCAGGGCTTCGCCTAAACTCCGCTACAGTATTATCGAGGAATATGGTGGCAGGGGGCACCGCACATGGCTAAGGAATCGATCACGTGGATCAACTTGTGTCAACTTGTGTGTTTAGAGGTGCCCCTGCCTCCGTATATAAAGGAGCCAAGGGGTGAGGAGGCGCCGGCCAGGAGGAGGTGGCGCAGGAGGAGTCCTACTCCTACCGGGAGTAGGACTCCCCTCCAATCCTATTCCAACTAGGATTCCCAAGGGGGAAAGAGAGAGAGGGGTGGCCGGCCACCTCTCCTAGTCCTAATAGGACTAGGGGAAGGGGGGAGGCGCGCAGCCCCCTTGGGCTGCCCCTTTCTCCTTTCCACTAAGGCCCATGATGGCCCATATGGCTCCCGGGGGGTTCCGGTAACCTCCCGGTAACCCGGTAAAATCCCGATTTCACCCGGAACACTTCCGATGTCCAAACATAGACTTCCAATATATCAATCTTTATGTCTCGACCATTTCGAGACTCCTCGTCATGTCCGTGATCACATCCGGGACTCCGAACAACCTTCGGTACATCAAAATGCATAAACTCATAATATAACTGTCATCGTAACCTTAAGCGTGCGGACCCTACGGGTTCGAGAACAATGTAGACATGACCGAGACACATCTCTGGTCAATAACCAATAGCGGGACCTGGATGCCCATATTGGCTCCTACATATTCTACGAAGATCTTTATCGGTCAGACCGCATAACAACATACATTGTTCCCTTTGTCATCGGTATGTTACTTGCCCGAGATTCGATCATCGGTATCCAATACCTAGTTCAATCTCGTTACCGGCAAGTCTCTTTACTCGTTCCGTAATACATCATCTCACAACTAACATATTAGTTGTAATGCTTGCAAGGCTTATGTGATGTGTATTACCGAGAGGGCCCAGAGATACCTCTCCGACAATCGGAGTGACAAATCCTAATCTCGAAATACGCCAACCCAACATCGACCATTGGAGACACCTGTAGTACTCCTTTATAATCACCCAGTTACGTTGTGACGTTTGGTAGTACCCAAAGTGTTCCTCCGGTAAACGGGAGTTGCATAATCTCATAGTCATAGGAACATGTATAAGTCATGTAGAAAGCAATAGCAACATACTAAACGATCGGGTGCTAAGCTAATGGAATGGGTCATGTCAATCAGATCATTCTACTAATGATGTGACCTCGTTAATCAAATAACAACTCATTGTTCATGGTTAGGAAACTTAACCATCTTTGATTAACGAGCTAGTCAAGTAGAGGCATACTAGTGACACTCTGTTTGTCTATGTATTCACACATGTATTATGTTTCCGGTAAATACAATTCTAGCATGAATAATAAACATTTATCATGATTATAAGGAAATAAATAATAACTTTATTATTGCCTCTAGGGCATATTTCCTTCAGTCTCCCACTTGCACTAGAGTCAATAATCTAGATTACACTATAATGAATCTTACACCCATGGAGCTTTGGTGCTGATCATGTTTTGCTCGTGGAAGAGGCTTAGTCAACGGGTCTGCAACATTCAGATCCGTATGTATCTTGCAAATCTCTATGTCTCCCACCTGGACTAGATCCCGGATGGAGTTGAAGCGTCTCTTGATGTGTTTGGTCCTTTTGTGAAATCTGGATTCCTTTGCCAAGGCAATTGCACCAGTATTATCACAAAAGATTTTCATTGGACCCGATG